GCTGGTGAGTGCGAAGAATAAGAATTTTAGACAATAATTGATCCAGAATGTGCAAAAGTAACCTTTCATTCCCCAACAGCAATATCCAATATGATGAGACCAGCTTTATATTGTAACAACAAAATGAACTGGGATAGAAAGGAATGGCACAGCAGATAAGTGCACTTCAGACACAAGCAGTGACAACAAAAAACGGAACTTTGAACTCACCCAGAGAACTATGCAAGAAACAAATGCATTTAAGAGGCAGTTTATCAGAGATGGGGAGATTTAAACTATTTAATTCTAAAACAAATGACACAGGGCTGTCCTGGAGCTAGGGGACCCCCCCCCCCCCCCCCCCCCCCCCCCCCCCCCCCCTCCCCCCCCCCCCCCCCCCCCCCCCCCCCCCCCCAAATCAATGTTACAAATTTAAAAAAAAAAAAATTTCAATGTTTCTAATTTTATTTAAAAAAAAAAAATAAATAAATAAAGGCGATACCAGCGGCACACAAAAACGGTCACATGAAATGATTCCGCACAGCACAAAAATAATATGCTAAGTATTTTAATTTCCTGACAACAGTGATACCAATGTCATGGAAACACTGCATTTATCACATTATATTTCTTGAAGCTACGATTAAAAAACATGTTACATTTTCAAAAGCATACTAACAAAACTGTCACACAATTGTCATAATCTAAACATAAAACACACAGGCGCAACAACTTGAAATACAATTTCATTTAATAAATCATCACCCAATCTTTTTGGGGAACTGAAACAAAAATGGCCAATATGTAATTATAAGCATATATTCAGCAATAACGGTAAACTGTACCCAAATACCTCAGTGCCATAGTTTGTACAACTTATCAACACAATAATGGAATCACACACGCATTAAGAAGTCAGATTGTCAAACAAACAAAAAACACACAAAAAAAACCTTCAGTTGTGATTACTGCAATCAACTAATAACTACAGCTTATTCTTTGCTAGGGCCATTCAACTGTTTGCTTGGGGTCTTAATGTTGAAAAATGGGGATCACCACACGCTAGAGGACCAAACCTCAGCACAGAAAAAACAACTACAATACAACTGGCAGGTGATCCGCGGGCCATTTGCTAGGCCTCTGCGGGCCAGATTTGGCTTGCGGCCACCAGTTAAATAGCCCTGTTCTATGCCAATGTGTAGCAACAAATGAAGTGATGCAATAAGGACACCAACAGCTGTTGCTGCTACGACCAGAAACCTAATCTAATTGGGATATATTTGTGTTTCTCTAAACAAACTCATTTTTTCTTACCGTATAGTGTGCAATTTGCCATTCTGATGTGTCAAATATTACCTTTAACACAAATGCATGCTATTTGTTTTTACACAATTCCGGCATTAGTTGGTATACAATTGCAGTACTATAGGCCAAAAAGTATAAACAACCTGAAGCAAATATTAACAAACCCAAAGATTGCAAATACCATCCCCATGACAGCCCCTTAGATGCAAGTTGCAATACGCAGCAGCAATATTATATGCAGTAAAAGTAAAAATGATTAAAAAGTAAAATGTGGTATCCTTCTTCCAGCAACTGATTTGTTGCTACAAGTTGACACAGAACAGAGCTATTTAACTGGTGGCCGTAAGCCAAATACCACATCAGTGCCAAATATTTCCTCTGTTATCTATCCATCAACATGTTAGTTACCTCTTTTAAGGTTGTTCAGCCATTCCAAGGTCAACTGTTCCCTCTAGCCTTTCCAGTATCTCCTGTAAGTTATCTGTCCCCTCAAATAGTCAGTTACTTTTCTGTAATTCCCCCCCCCCCTTCCACCCACCCTGCTTTTTCAACCCCCTAAATTTATCTAATATCTACTCATCCCAGACGTCTTTTTATCCCCATCTAGTTTCCTCTAAAATTATCTATTTATTCAAGATGTCAGTCAGCTCTTTTTAACACCCCCCCCCCCCCCCCCAGTTTCTCCTAAAGTTATCTATCCATCCAAATTCACCTCTTCCTATACCATCTAGTTTCTTTCTAAATTTAACAATCTATCCAAGATTTTAATCACCTCTTCCTACCTGCCTGTCTAGATTTACAGGCCGTGTTAGCGCAGTCAATAGGAGACTCACTTTCACATCTAGCTACAACTCGCTGCAGCCCACAGCCGATGTTCGAAACTGGGCGGTTCCCCAGGGTTCACCCAGCCTCTAGGAAATGAGTACCAGAGCGCTTATGGTTTATAACCGTGTGCAATGGCACTGGTGTATCCACTCCAAATGTCAGTTACCTCCTCCTATCCCCTGTCTAGATTCACTTAAAGTTATCTATCCACTCCAAATGTCAATTACCTCCTCCTATCCCCTGTCTAGATTCACTTAAAGTTATCTATCCACTGCAAATGTCAGTTACCTCCTCCTATCCCCTGTCTAGTTTCTCTTAAAGTCATCTATCCATCTGAAATATCAGTCACATTATCATACATGTCTGTATGGATTCCCCTAAAGTCCCCACTGCCAATCCTTCCTAATTGCAAGTGGCAGTATTCTGTAAAGGAAAACCTATCAAATCCCACCAATAAAGTCAACTTACACTGTACATTTATGAAGCAAGCACTGGAACAAGAAGAATAGTGCAACACATGTTTTCCGGTCCCAGATTTGAGAGCCAAATATAATTAAATAATGATCTATGACTGGTTATTGCAAGTTTAATATATACAGTTTATATCAGCAACAACGTGCAACCAAATTATGAGGCACAAAGACATTAAAAACAACAGAAACATAAGTTATGATCATCACAATGCAACATTACTTGCATATATTAAATATAATGTCTATGTTAGGAACATAGAATGGAAAATGGATTGTTTACAATATAAGCTTCTTGAACATATGTGACCCCAGAAAGAAAACTATAACCTGGGTTATAAACTATACATTTCTGCACAAAGATCAGTCAGTTTAACCAATTCCTTGAACTAATTTACCAAATACGACAAATGAACTCTCTCTACTCTTAGAATGGAGGTAATCAGAACAGCTATGATCTACATTTTATGCTGCTCTTTGGTTCACATTCAGTCAAGTTGTAACAGCGACACCCTCTAACAGATAAGTAATCATTGAATCACTGTTTGTGTAACACAGTTTTTGCTCTGTTATTGTCTTGCTTAATTTTATGAGCACATTTTTTGAACATAGTATAGTTTTTCTACTGTTCTTTGGTTCACATTCAGTCAAGTTGTAACAGCGACACCCTCTAACAGACAAGTAATCATTTAATCACTGTTTGTTAAACACAGTTTTTGCTCTGTTATGTGTCTTGCCTAATTTTATCAGCACGTTTTTTTAAACATAGTATAGTTTTTCTACTGTTCTTTGGTTCACACCCAGTCTAGTTGTAATAGCAACACACATCAACAGATAACTGTTTAACCATTGCCTGTGTAAATTTATGCTTTGCTACAATGTGCCTACATCCATTTGCCTCCTCCTGGCTGTTACTTAAAGGTTACAAAATTTCAGTCTGGGTGGTAAGCCTACAGGCCAAATCCCAGATACACTGTTCAATCTATTAAGAAGTTATAATTAGGATACCCATAATGGCTACATCAGCCAGGCATGACCTCCAGTCCTGTGTGGGTAAGGACTTTTTTTCTTTACCTGCTCAGAAACCACTTTTTAGCAAAATCAATGTTGGGAGTTAATTTAAAGTTGACGTTTGGTGGCTGTCATGTCAAGTCATACCCAGGACTGAGCTGCTGATGCCACTGATCACCTTGTAGAAAGGGAATACAAGTTCTCTCTTTGAGTCTGGACTTCTAGTCTCAACTACTGGAAAAGTTACAGTTAACATCTCTCTAGGACTCAGAGAATTTAATGGGTTTTTTTCCTCTTAAATATCCAGAAACCATGAGTTGTTATGGATATCTATGGATGCTATGGATATCACAACCTTTCGGCCTTGATTTCATGATAGGTACCGTAAATCTAGGAGAAAATGTGGCTTTTCTGCCTACCCCCGGGCGTGAGCCCGGACCACATGGAGTTCGTCACCCGGTCACCGCACAGTCCGGTTTAGCCAACTAGAGAGAGCCGGGCAATTAAATGTTTCAACGGTCCTTTTTATTGATACCAATTTTAGCACCTGCCACAAATTCATGCTAAGAATTTTTATATTGTAAAGTTAACAATTATGACTGGTTTTACAAAACAAACAGCTTAAATTTCAGCCAGTTTTCTTGTGACAAAATGAGCAAGAAAATGGAAGACGTAGCTGAACCTGTTTACATCTTGTCTGGTGTACGAGATCATCATAAGTTAATATAGTTTTATTCACAAGGAGCAGTTGGCCAAACAGTTAGAAAACTGAGCTCTCAAGCAAGAGACCCGGGTTCGATCCTCAGTAAGGTTAAGAAAGCTTTTTTTTTTTTTTTTGGTTAGGCAAAAATCAAACACCCTAACAGTTCATGGCGACTGCATTAGACATGTGGTATTAACTACTCATGCTCTAGACCTCCATCTAAAAATCTACCCAAAGTATTTCAGGATCCTTGCCGGTGCTACAGAGCCTGTGCAATGTGCTGAGCTTCTTCGGACTTGAGTTAGAAGAAGAATGGAGCACTTATCGGTCACTACTGTGTGCCGTGATATTGATCCGTTGTTCAAACTTCAAGTTCTCACTAATTATTTTAATTACTATACTTCCCTTATATTCTTCTTGTTTAGTCTCTGTGCATGCAAGTAACAGATACATTTGTACAGATGTGACTAAGCGTATCTTCTTCAATACAGTTCTTACACTGCAACATTTCAAATTATTCTTGTTTGGACTTTAAAAAAGACCTGAACAGACACACCTACATGAGTTTTCTCTACAGCGACACAGTTCTTGGATTACAATATTACCTGCATACTCTCCAAGTCTGTATCTTGATAAGGCTTTACTTTTGAATTTTGTTTCTTCAACAATTTCTTATGTAAGTGTATCTTCTACAACATGTTGAAACTTCAGCTCTGATTAGATACTAACTTTCCTGGCTTTTTGTTTTTCTTTTGTGGAGCTGCTAAAACATTCACAGATTTGGCATTTGCTTTAATATTTTTCTTTGACACGGCTAAAACTGTTGCTGCTGCTTTTAGATTCTTGCTTTTATTTGGAATCTTTTTTGATGTTGCTTTTGCTGTCTTATCCTGTCCTTTTAAACCCTGCTTTTTCACACTTGAATTTGACACACTTTGTTTACTGACAGGCATTTTGTTTGCTTTTGTTTTGTTTGGAGCTACATTTTTTGTGCCTTTCTGCACAATCTTAACATCCTTTAATACCTTTATTGTCTTTGTTTTTTTAGTGCTGCCTGTTTTTACAGTTTTTGGCTTCAGGTTTTTAATTTTAGAACCTGAATTGACAACTGCCTTCTGCTTCTTTGCTAAATTTTTCAGGCTTTCTGTTGACTTCTCCTTTGCTTTCTTCTGGGGTTTTCTCTTTCTCGGTGTTTTCTGAACTGGACCATCTTCTTCTATTGTGTCTTGTCCTTGAACTCCAGCAACCTGGACTGTCTCATCTCCGGAAGCTTCCTCCTCCTCAGAACTACTGATGTTCCCGTTAGCATCTGCCTTGGCCAACTGGCTCTTGAGTAAACTGAGATCACCAACCAACGAGGGGATTGTAGACAGTGACCTTCTCTTACTATGAAGCTGAAGGGAAACAAAAATATCTTTCAACTGTGGAGGTAGCACGCCATCATTCTCATCTCTCAGAGTGTCTCGGTGTTTCTGTAAACACAACCAATCACAGAATCAATCAAAAGCAGTCATAAATTAAATATGCTTTTTGTGAATTGTCTATGTGAATGCTGTTTGCAAATTCTCTATGTGAATGCTGTTTGTGAATTGTCTATGTGAATGCTGTTTGTGAATTCTCTATGTGAATGCTGTTTGTGAATTGTCTATGTGAATGCTGTTTGTTAATTGTCTAGGTGAATGCTCTTTGTGAATTCTCTATGTGAATGCTGTTTGTGAATTGTCTATGTGAATGCTGTTTGTAAATTGTCTATGTGAATGTTGTTTGTGGATTCTCTATGTGAATGCTGTTTGTGAATTTTCTATGTGAATGCTCTTTGTGAATTCTCTAGATGAATGCTGTTTGTGAATTCTCTAAGTGAATGCTGGTTTGTGAATTCTCTATGTGAATGCTGTTTGTGAATTCTCTACGTGAATGCCGTTTGTAAATTCTCTATGTGAATGCTATTTGTGAATTCTCTAGATGAATGCTGTTTGTGAATTCTCTATGTGAATGCTGTTTGTGAATTCTCTAGATGAATGTTGTCTATGAATTCTTTACGTGAATGCTGTTTGTGAATTCTCTAGATGAATGCTGTTCGTGAATTCTCTAGATGAATGCTGTTTGTGAATTCTTTATGTGAATGCTGTTTGTGAATTCTCTATGTGAATGCTGTTTGTGAATTCTCTACTTGAATGCTGTTTGTGAATCTCTATGTGAATGCCCCTTGTGAATCTCTACATGAATGCTTTGTGAATTCTCTACGTGAATGCCATTCATGAATTCTCTATATGAATGTGGTTTGTGAATTCTCTATGTGAATGCCATTCATGAATTCTCTATATGAATGTGGTTTGTGAATTCTCTATGTGAATGCCATTTGTTGTGGCGCGGTGATTTATGTCACAGGCGTGAGGGGAAGTTAAGTCCAACATGATGTGTATAAGGAGATACTCCGTACGTCACTCGGGCGCCAGTCCTTTACTATCCTGGTTGTACGGAACCTCACGCAAGACCCCTGCAGCACGTCCTCGTCGGGCGCCACGTATAATGTCTCAAATGAGCTGTCAGGGGATCTCGGAGTTCGGCGGCCCCCAGAGGTGATGTGTCCTTGTGGCTCTCATCAGCCCGCCCCCAAACGCTTGGGTGAAAAAAGTTATCAAAACTCATTAGGAACGTGAGCAGGTTTGCCAAACGTACAGCCAAAATTACAACCCTTGGTTAAAAGACTGCGGAGTAATGAGATCATTGCTCACTGCACATCCTCGGTTAACCCCCAGTGTCGTCGTCACCGCGCTGAGGTACACCACAACAGCAACCATCCACAGGCTGGCCATACATGTACATCCTCGGTTAACCCTCAGTGTCGTCGTCACCGCGCTGAGGTACACCACAACAGCAACCATCCATCAGATGGCTAAGCCTAAATGTCCGACAAAACTGGATCATACGGATCAAAATCTGACCATCAAAATGTGTATTGAACGGAAAAAGACCAAATGCCCACACCCAAAAACCCCACTCGCCCGAGTGTTGGGACAAAACTGATAACGATATGCCTGACGCAGGATGTAAAATTCTGTCGGGCTAACGGCTCGTCAAAGAAATCTAACTTGCGAAGAAAAAAAAAGAATGTTCCTATTCGTGTGGTCACAAAAGTCCAAAATCCACGGGCTGCTCCCCGCTGACTTCCAGAGGGCGCAGCCCCTGTCGAGCGGGAGGCCTGATACGGTTGTGAGATTAAGCAGGCATGTGCAGGACGTGACGATTCCTTGGGTGAGCCCAGAACCAGAGCGCCATGTGCCGGCTCTGTATACATGGAAGCCTCCTTGGATGGCGGGGAATGCCCATGATCTGCCCCTGCCTTCCCTTGAGGGCTAACTGTTCCACAGAGGGCTGCCCCAAAGGGATGCCCGGGGGGCAATACCTGCGGAGAAGTGGACACCACACAAATCAGGCAACGTCTTGACCCACACAAAACAATGGCCATAGTCACCCTAGAAATAGGCCTGACGTCCTCCTTCGAAGTCGGAGTACAGCTGCCCATGAGGCAGCGAAATGAAAAACGGTTGTACACGCAAAAATCAGGTCCAGGTGAAGGCCAAAAGTCCAAGCGGACGATTAACCGGGACCTTCCACTGGAATTCACAGCCGGTGTTCGATAAAAAAAAAAAAAAAAATGCCATTTGTTAATTCTCTATGTGAATGCCATTTGTGAATTCTTTATGTGAACGCTGTTTGTGAATTCTCTATGTAAATGCTGTTAGTGAATTGGGGGAAAAAGGGGGGGGGGGTGTCTTATACACTGAAAAGTAGAAGTAGTGAAAATAATTTAATGACCAAAGACAGAGAAGCTTCAGCGCCTACCTGGAGCAGATCAGGCCCATGACACGCACAGCACACACCAACAATGATGTCCACAAGCTTGGATGCTTCTGTTAGTCTTATATGTAAGCCATTTGTAGTTTCAGCTACACGTCTGAAGAAAGTGGTTCCTTCATCCTCATCTTCCTCTGATGATATCTTTGCTGAAGAGGCTTGAATTGTGAAGACATGGATGCCCTGATGGTCAATGTGAAAATGAAGAACATTTTAGAAGAATCAATAATAAGATTGGCAAATAATGAAGAACTAAAGAAAATAAATATCAAAAGAAAACACTTTCTCAACTCTGTATTGATATATATATATATTTGGCGGGGGAAGCTGCGTGGTCTCGAGGCACAGTGTCCGTCTTGAGTGCTAGGGGTTACAGATTGAATCCCTGGTAAGGGCTGGGATTTTTTTCACGTGGACTCCTGGTCGCTGGGTAGTGAGATCGGTCGCCCGTTTGCATTGTTGCACAGGTACAAAAAATCCCTTGGTAGTTGGAAATATAAAATAGTAGCCTAACGGCGCTGCCTGGGCAAAATTTGCAGTTAAAAATCTACCCAAAGTATTTCAGGATCCTTGCCGGTGCTACAGAGCCTGTGCACTGCTGAGCTTCTTTGGACTCAGACTTGAGCTGGAAGAAGAAACGAGCACTTATGGGTTACTACCCGTGTGCCATAATGTTGATCCGTTGTTCAAACCTCAAACCAGATGTATTGATATATTCAGTTGCTGGCACTTTTCATTCCTATAGATAATAGTGTTATACTGTGCTACAGTGAGGGATGGGAGTCACTGCCCATTGTGATCCAAGCCAGGGACAAAGTTCCTCCTGTCCATAGCACAAAGCCCGGGCAGTACTGTAGAGACCATGTGTTACCCACACAGCCTGATCCCTAACTCAGCCTGCTTTGTTTACTCCAAAGGAAAGGTATCACCAATACATCTGGAACAGAGCCTGCTGCAGAAGCCGTTGGATCAGAACAGCAGTGCTCTCGCTGTCCACCAGTTGGAGCATCCCTCCCAGACCAGCTGCCAGCCAAGGCTAAGGACCCTGCCAAAACAATAGGTTGTATTTCCAATATATATATCATGCAATCAGTGCCAAATGTGGACACTTACATCCTCCAATGAATGTAAAATTGTGACAATAGAGATGAAATGCCTTAGAAGAGCTGCAGAAGTTTCAAGGAATAACAGAATACGAAATCACGAAATCAGACAAATGCTAGGAATAAAGCCAGTCATTACAGGTCATCAAAGAACAACAAATAAAGTGGTTTGGACACCTAACAAGAATGCTTTGGTACTATCTGCCATAGCGAGCCACACTAAAACGTTACAACGGGTATAGAGCAAGTGGAAGACCTTGGAAAATATGGAGTGATGGCATTAAGAACAGCCTTATAGAAATGAACATCAGTCTTAATAGTGCTCTTGACAGAGCTCATCAACGAATGTTACATCTCCACCCGACACTTCGATGAGGTACAAGGTAAAAGAGAAGAAGAATAAGAGAATCTCCTATATATTTAGTAAAGCAAAAGTATCCCATGCCATAAGGGTAAACACTGCAAATGCTGTCATAAGTTAACAAGTCACAGTTTTAGAAGGTGATGAGAAATACAGAATTCCTCACTTATATGATTTGGTCAGCAGTTGGAGTTTCATTACCTGGAATGTGGCGCGGTGATTTATGTCACAGGCGTGAGGGGAAGTTAAGTCCAACATGATGTGTATAAGGAGATACTCCGTACGTCACTCGGGCGCCAGTCCTTTACTATCCTGGTTGTACGGAACCTCACGCAAGACCCCTACAGCACGTCCTCATCGTGCGCCACGGATAATGTCTCAAATGAGCATTAACAGAGCTGTCAGGGGATCTCGGAGTTTGGCGGCCCCCAGAGGTGATGTGCCCTTGTGGCTCTCATCAGCCCGCCCCCAAACGCTTGGGTGAAAAATGTTATCAAAACTCATTAGGAACATGAGTAGGTTCGACAAAAGTACAGCTAAAATCACAACCCTTGGTTAAAAGACTGCTGAGTAAAGAGATCATTGCTCAATGCTCATCCTCGGTTAATTCTCAGTGTCGTCGTCACCGCGCTGAGGTGCAACACAACAGAAACCATACATGGGCTGGCCATCCTTGTGCATCCTCGGTTGGCCCTCAGTGTCGTCGTCACCGCGCTGAGGTGCACCACAACAGCAACCATCCATAGGCTGGCCAGTCACGTAATCCTCGGTTAACCCTCAGTGTCGTCGTCACCGCGCTGTGGTACACAGCAACCATCCATCGGATGGCTAAGCCTAAATGTCCGACAAAACTAGATCATACGGATCAAAATCTGACCATCAAAATTGGCACTGAAATGCAAAAGGCCGAATGTCCACACCCAAAGACCCCACTAGCCCGAGTGTTGGGACAAAACTGATAACGATATGCCTGATTCAGGATGTGAAATTCTGCCGGGCTAATGTACCTATCTGTGTGGTCACAAAAGTCCAAAACCAACGGGCTGCTCCCCGCTGACTTCCAGAGGGTGCAGCCCCTGACGAGCGGGAGGCCTGATACGGTTGTGAGGTTAAGCAGGCATGTGCAGGACGTGACGATTCCTTGGGTGAGCCCAGAACCAGAGCACCATGTGCCGGCTCTGCATGCATGGAAGCCTCCTTGGATGGCGGGGAATGCCCATGATCTGCCCCTGCCTTCCCTTGAGGGCCAACTGTTCCACAGGGGGTTGCCCCAAAGGGGTACTCCGGGGGCAATACCTGCGGCGAAGGAGACAAGGCGGACACCACACAAATCAGGCAGTCTCGACCCACACAAAACAATGGCCACAGTCACCCTAGAAATAGGCCTGACGTCTTCCTTCGAAGTCGGCGTACAGCTGCCCAAGAGGCAGGGAAATAAAAAATGGTTGTACACGCAAAAATCAGGTCCAGGTGAAGGCCAAAAGTCCAAGCGGACGATTAACCGGGACCTTCCACTGGAATTCACAGCCGGTGTTCGATGAAAAAAAAAAAAAAATTACCTGGAATGGATTCCACCTACATAAGCCATACACAGCAGTCTACAAAAGCAGACCAAATAACAACCAGAACTTTCAGATGAAGTTTACAGCTGATGAACACTGAGAAAAAGAAGAAGAAGCAGAAAAAGATATTCCAGTTTGTACACTACCATTTGAGCCAGCAGTTTTGCTTCCAGCTCCCAATCAATGACGGGGATTTCTGCCTTTGGTCCAATCTCCAGCGCTGATCTGATCCAGCCTCTCCAGTGCTCCCGCTGCAAGTAGAAGCTGGTCCTGTTGGGCCTGCCCCGACCGATCATCACCACAGTTCGGTAACTACAAGAACTCCAGCTCATGCAGCGCTGCAACTTCCATAATGCCATCTCCAGATTGTCTTGTACATAGTCTGGGTATACTGTGGCTTCTGGTTCTACAAGAAAGAATTGCAAAACTGCAATATATTATGACGTGGTAAGATTAATGGAAGTTGAATGATAAGAATGCCTCGGTACTAATTACCACAGAGCCACGCTGAAGATACATAATGAACACAGAGCAAGGGGTGGACGGTACATAACAGCTGGAGCTGGAACTCCATTTTGGACATGACAAGTATCTTATGTAATAAGAACAGCTCAAGCCGGAACTCCATTTTGGACATGACAAGTATCTTATTTAGTAAGTCACTTTCCGTCCATGTGTAACCAGGGCCCTCACGAGAAGCAAAGAATAGTAACGCTGCAACCAACCAGGCATGGCCAACCATGAAAACGTCAAAAAGAGAAACAAAAACAAATAACCCAGCCAACCAAGATGAGGGGTAGGCTCTTCTAGTAGAAGAAATATGACAAGGCTGAGAAAGCCGAAAGGAGTCCAGATCGTCGACTTACCTCCTTTCACCAAAGTCCTCCAGAATTGACACCTGGAATATTAGAACTTTGTACGATGTAGGAAGAACAATGGAAGTATTTTAAAAAGAATGAAACAGGTTAAATTCAGGGAAACTATTTTGTTCTTAGGACATAAAAAGGAAAATTCTTCTCAAAGCGAAGGAGTGGCCCTGATAACATTTGAAGAAGCAGAGAGGGCACTAATAGAATAGGAAGCTGTGAGTCCTAGAATAATAGCAGCATCACTTAGAACAGAGAAACAGAAGGTGAACAAGTCAGTAACACAGTGTTATGCACCAATAAATGATATGGTTGAATCAGTTAATGAGTTTTTACATGCAACTTCAAAATATTATAAATAATGAAAGAAAGGGAAAAACAAACATTCTGATGGGTGACCTGAATGCTAAGATAGGATTAGATAATACAAGGTTATGAAGAGATTATTTGAAAACATGGACTAAAAGTAATAAATGAATATGGAGAAAGAGATGAAGAAAAGATGCTGGAGTTGGATAGGTCACATGCTAAGAAAACATGAAATATATAACTAGAATGTCAGCACTGGAAGCCACAGGGGCATGGAAATAAAGGAAGACCAAAAAATACACGGAGAAGGGAACTAGAGAGTGAAGTTAAAAAAGGTGGGGAGGATTTTGGGAGAGCTGCATGCAAAAGTGAAGGATAGAACCACCTGGCGTGAGCTGGTTGATGGCCTATGCCCATTGGGGGATAAAGGGTAGAAAGAGGAAGTCACTTTTATTTAATGCTACAGAATTCATAAATGTTATATTGAGCTCATTCCACTGTATATCAGTGAATTTAGAATATGAATGAGCAAATTAGGAAGAGCTTGAGGCAAAGGAATTGTGGTTTCTGAGATGATTTGTATTTATTAAGTCTTCGGTCTATCTTCTTAGACAATATTCCACTAACTTCTACATTACAGGGAGCCACTATGGTTTAGCAGCTAGAGGCTTGCCTGCGAATTGGAAAGTATGGGTTTGGGTCCTAGCGGAGCCAGACTTTAAAAAAGAAAAAAAAAAATGATTTTGGCTCCCAGGTTGACCCAGCCTTCATTGGGTACCAGGTACAATCCAGGGAAGTAAAGGCAGCCGGCATGATGCTGACCACATCAAACACCAAGCACCGGTTGGTCTATAAAATACAATTCTAGCAGTATATGCCCAATACGCCTGAAAGCATGGGAAAGGGTCCTTGACCTTTTTGGCATGTGTGTGTGTGTTGAAGTATGTTACAACTCTACAAGTATGCACAGTAACATTCAGCTATGTCAGCTGATGACTCATTTACCATGTTAGAAACTCATACATATGGGGGCATACCCACTAAGAACTCCTCTTAGGCTCACAATAATTTTTCTTCATCTTTTCTGCTTCTATATTATATTCTTTATTTCTTCCAGAATTCTCCCACTCTTGTCTGTCACAATACTGGGATAAGAATCTGTCAACTCGAAGAAAAACAAAGGTGTATTTTTTATATTTTTTAAAGCCACCACTCAAAGATGAATTTATAACATCAGCACTAATTACATAATGGAGAACACACTAATTATTTAATGGAGAACATCAGCTTTTTTTAAACTTTTAATATACTTTTTTAATTCCTCTGTATCAGTGTCAGAAAGAATGAAATGTGGCATCAGATCAGAGTTTAGGTTTGAACCTAAACTCTGATCAGATGCCATATTTAATTCTTTCTGACACTAATCAGACACTATCAGAGTAACTGGCAAGAGATAAGAAGAAGGGTTGATTGTGTAACCACCTTATACCCATATACACGAGTAACGCACTATTTTACATAGCTCATCTCCTTCCGCAAGAGCGAAGGAATATTAGCACCTCACTGGCAACAACTCTCACCCTTTAACATCTAAATTTTTCCTGGTCCCATGTTTATACCCCTTTTCCTCAGATGAGACACTACCCACCTCACTCTAAGCAACTGTACAATGATCTCATTAAATCAATCACCTCACTCTAAGCAACTGTACAATGATCTCATTAAATCAATCAATCCCTATCACGCCCAGAGGCACATGAGGTGGAGACAAACTGTCGCCACTCACTTCAATCCTGTGCCATCCTCTCTATCTCCAGTTTTGTACTTCGCGTAGCTTTGAGTTCAGCCTCAAAGGTTCAAAGTGTCCAATCCACCATCCTCTTCATTTTTTTTCAATTTCTAAATTTACATCTTCTAGGTCTGTCATTTGTTGTAATCTACAACTGCTGATTTTGTCTTCCCATGAGAACCTCGACAATCTTCTGAGAAGTCCTCCCTCAAAACCTCTGAGCATGTTCTCTGTCTGTCTGTGTTTTCCAAGTTTCTGCTCCATGATCTCACTATCTGCCTATATATTCTGGTTTCCATTCAACCCCCCCCCCCCTCCCCCCCCCCAACATTCTGGAACTTCTGCATTAAAAATAAACCTCAAGTTAGCATCATTATTTATAAGAAACAAACATAAAAACTGATATCAGCAAGACAGAGCACATGCAACAATAAATAATGAACATAATTTAGGTTTCAAATTATTTAGCCCCTGAAGGCAGATGAGCAAGGGGGGTATCTCTTAGAATCTACAATCACAGCAAGAGACAGCAAGTACTGGAGATTCTTCTTCTAAGTGTTCACTGACTGTAAACTCTAGCAGAAAGTTCTGGTTGTTCATCCATGTCTGGACTTTGGTCTTGTTCTAGAACTTGACTTTTGCACGCATTTTACAGTTTTGGCTTGTCAGTATGCAGACTGTTAGTTTTGCAGATGCAGGCTGACTCTGAAGAAAACTCCCCTTATTAGTCCTTCTGTACAACAGGGAGGCAGTGGGTCTATTCTTTTGTCCCCTCAGAATAGGGTCCCAGAACCCACATGGGGAATTAGAGATTCAATGCACTTAATCTTCACTATGAAGAATGAATGATTGAATCAAGACCTGACATCACTGCACTCTGGACATTCCCACATGTGCTCTGTCCCCTTCTTCAGCAGCCAATGAAGAGTCGACATGCTAGCAGTACCAGTTGCAACCTGATTAAAAGAAAGCTTCCCCCTCAGTGTTGAAAATCTTCCATAACCTTAATCCCCCCCCCCCCCACTTTCGAACTAGTCTTTCATTGTAAAGATGGCATTAGATTGACTTATTGATGAGACAAATTATACAAGTATTAAACAACACCTACCTAAACTGTCTACGAAGGCACAGATCTGCGAAAATGTCGCCCCAAGGTCCAGCCATTTAGTTCCACTATGTCCACCAGTGCGGATATAATTGTGGTCAATGGCACTGCTGCCACTGCCCGGCTTGTCATCATGGATGCCACCCTGAGTGTGAGCCAGCACACCAACACGCAGGTCTGGAATCAGCGACTGCAGCTGCCACACCAAATCTCTGGTCTTCTCCTGTAATACTGTCAAATAGTCCCTCATGGCTCCCGATGTGCTGATACAAATCACAACTTCGAGCATTTTCGGCTTTTCTAGGATCACTGATTTCTCCGGCCCGTCTACAGACAGTTCTCCTCCTTTGACACAAGGATCTGCTGCCTTGACACTTAATCTGTCTGCTCCATTGAGACTCTTGGTGTCACAAATTTCCATTACATCAGAAATGTTCAACTCCTGTGCCTCCACACTGTACAAATCAATATTAGACTCGGGCGTAAAGTATTCCTTGGATGATGGTTCTGAAGGTGATTCTGGTAAGGGTTGACACTGTAAGGTTGACATACTTGCTGACTGTAGTGAGACTGGAAACTCATCGACGTTATTCTGAAGCAAAGGCTTCACACTTGTACTTTTCAAAACCTGCTCAGGTTTGACAGTAATATCCCCTGAATCACTTGATGAGCTTAAGATTTCTGTGTCTTTCCTTATTAAGGATGCAGAGTCTGTTAAAGTATGCGGGATCCTTTTGTTTTTGGGAGGGTGCGGAGGTGAGTCTTCAACTTTTAAAGTGGATCCCCTTCTCAATGAAGGTGGATCTTCTTCAGCCTTTGATTTCTCATTATCTGCCTTTAAAGGCTGCTGCTGCGATGGTTTGGGGCCTCTTTTCTTGACAGGTGAGGCTGTGGAAGCAGGAATCTTGGGCTTTTCTGATTTTGAAGATTCCTTTATCGTGGTGCTGCCATCGGTAACATATGATGCAAGCCATGCTGGTGCTTTTCTCTGGCGACCAGATGATGATCTTGGAGAAGTCAACACACTGTCGTCAGCATTGTCTGTACTCTGTGAGGAATTTCCCCCGTGAATGTCTGAACCATCTGTTAAGTCTTTGCTAATCTTGGCTGGGTCTTCATTGCCCAAAGTATTAGTAGCTTTCCTCTTCATTTTCCCCTCAACATTCAGCTAATTTTTGCAAAACTTGTCAAATCTAAAAGAAGGAAATTTATTTTAAAAAAAACAAAATTATACAACAATGTAATTTTTAAACCTGAAAGCAAATATATTTTATTTTTTTAAACATTCAATGGAACCTTGGGTCTCGAACTTAATTTGCAATTAAGAGTTGTTCGGAAACTGAGCTGTTCAAAAGTGAAATCATTTTTCCAATAACAATTAATGTTAAATTAATTTTTTTTTTTTTACTCCAGAAGACAAATAGTTGTAGCCATTAAAACAAAACCTCATTCATACCATCAAAAAAAAAAAATCTACAAAAATGTATACAATATTTCTACAACAAAGAATAACATAAAATAAATTATAAACAAAATGTAATCCACAACATCGTTTTCCTACTGTAAATTTAAACAATTCGGACACAAACAATACAATGCAAAATATATTGCCTGGCATATTTTGCTGTGCGAAATGTAATCTCTCTCTACTAGTATGAAAAAGGGTTGGCGTAAAAAAAAAAAAAAATAATGGGGACAGAAGGAATGTTAGTGTGGGGTTCCCAAATAATGAACAATGCAAAAAGAACAGAAAAATAATTCAGCCAGTCAAGATGAAATGATACTCTACAGATTATGGCACTGTTTGGAAAGAGTTAAAGAGTGTGGCACTGACTCCACAGCTGGCACCTAAGATGCCTGAATCATGATGGAGAGGATAATTCTTGTTCTTTTGATAATCCATGTTGTATGGCTTTAAAATTCATATTGGTTCACAGCCTTCTCTCTCCTGTACTCTCAGTCAGTCTGATATAAATGTCAATCATCTTTCTTTCTTGATAACACTCTCTGCTTCTTTGTCCATCCCTTTTCCAATTGTCATGATGTATTCTAGTTTTCTATGATACTCCCAAAGAATCCAGACTGTTTCTGATGCATATAGCCGTTTCTCTTTGTGAGGTTAGGTCTTTCAAGATATCTTCACTGTACTTTTTATCTGTCCCTAGTGTTATCATTCTTTTATCTTTTTCTTGAGTATTCTAAGCCACTGAGGTTCAATGCTGCAGGTATCAAGTGTCTGAAGGTCTGCCTGTATATTACCTCTCCATGTTCTTCCTGATGTGACTCACTTTGTCTGGGTTCATGGACCTCTGAACATATATTAAAGCTCCAGGACCACCACAGGGATCTGCGATTTCACCCGTATTGTTCAATGTTTTTACGAGCAAAATTGCGGATACTAAATATTATGGCAGCGATGGACATGGAGCAGAGAATGCTATTCACACTTAATGGGCCCTTAATTATCTCACAGATTGTTTGTGGATTGGGGTTACTCACTGTCTTGAAGAATCAGCTAAAGAAACTGGAGCGCATACAGAATGAAGCTATAAGGCTGATCCTGGGTTGTACAAGAGACACCCCGATTGTGTACATGTGATACATCCTTGCAGTGCCTACTATTGCAGATAGGCTAAAGGTGCTGCATGCTAAGTCATTAATACCCCGTGTATGAAGCTTTGGCTGCAGGTAAGGGTCAGAGGCTAAAAAAAGGAAAATCATAGATGGTTCAAGCAGAAGACACAATAAGTCAAGTATGCATGCTGGAGAACATTAGGCGAGGAGAGGAGTGAGTCAGAGTACCAGCGGAAATATCTGATCTAAGTAGGGTTATGATCACATTGGGCCGGGAGTGCAGAGAGTGGCCAGCAGGTGCAACGGAGGTGTAAGTCCAACAGGTGATTCAAGACAATTCTTGCCCAGACGATTGGATTATCTGTACAGATGGTTTGGTGTTGAGAAGTGTGTGGGGATTTGTAGTGAAAGCCAATGGAAAATCTTTAGTGCAGGACAGCCTAGCATATGACAACACAACATCTAGCATGAGAATGGAGGTGGAGGGGGTAACTGCAGCTTTTTGGTGGCTAGAGAACAAGATTCATTCACATGTCATAATTGTAAGACTCTGAAACCATGATGAGAAAGGTGAAGACAGGGATGCTTTGAGCAGAATGGCAAGTTTCACCACTGGTAGTAAGCATTATTTAAATTTTTTTCTCCAGGCCATACCGGCGTGGTGGGGAATGGCAGGCAGACTGATTGGCTGGATCTGCACCACTAGGTGGTAAAATAATACATGACAAGGCAAATGAGGTCAGGGCAATTTGGGAGCAAGCAATGGAGTCAGAAGTGAAACAAGATTATTATGGTCTGGAGAGAATGAGGAATCTGGGCGTAACCAGAGGGTGTGGCCAGCTCAGTACACTCAGAGGAAAGGCAAGATGGACATATAACCAGATTACAACTGGTACAATTAGTAATATAACTCTGCACTGGCTGCTGAAGATGAGGACAGAGCACACATGGGAATGCCCTGAGTTCTGTGATGTAAATTATTGACTCAACTTATCTCAAGTCAACTCTACATATATCATTTTCATATTCGTGCCAGAGCATGCAGGTGTGCAAGGAAATTTGCAAGCTGATAGGCTTGCAGATAAAGCTACTGTGAAGGATGGACAAGCCATGGATCAGGTTAATATTCTAAATACTCTACAGGAAGTAAGTCGTTTAAGAGAACCAAGTTATGACTGAATCTGCAACAACGACCAGACAGTAAGAACAACATAATAAAAGGTGTGGCAAGACAAGAGCACTAGGCAGAAAACCAAAAAAGAATTAGACACCAACAGAGAACAGGAGTCCTCAACCGCTACCAGATCTAATGAGGAAGGGATCCAAGCACTTATGGACCAAATGGTTCCATGTACAACAAGAATAATCTGTCAACTAACTAACTTACTAACTTTAAAATTCTTCTACACCATCACAAAATTAGAAGCAGTGTGAATAATGTGTATAGGGTACAAAAGCAATAGACAGCTATGGATAGAAGATATTGGCACAAACTGGTTCAGCACCTATGCGCCACCGAAGAATAAATGATAGAAGAAAAACTAAACAATAGAATTCTGAAGTCATTTTACATTAACTTCTGTCCCATTTTCCGCATAGGATCAAAAGCCCTCAACCAACTCACACAAAGCTATTCTATCTTTTGTCCTTTATTCAATACTCTTCTTCTTCTTTGTTCACCAGCAAGACAGTGAGTCTATTCTTGTTTTCCCACAATAGAATCCCAGAACCCACACAGGAGCAGGTTTTTTTTTTTTACTCACGATATGCAATGCTATGCAGTACTGGAAACCTTTTTTACCCACGATATGCAACGCTACACAGTACTGGAAACCTTTTTTTACTCACGATATGCAATGGTACGCAGTACTGGAAACCTTTTTTTACTCATGATATGCAATGGTACGCAGTACTGGAATCTTTTTTTTTACTCACGATATGCAATGGTACTCAGTGCTGGAACCTTTTTTTTACTCACGATATGCAATGGTACGCAGTACTGGAACCTTTTTTTTTACTCACGATATGCAATGGTACGCAGTACTGGACCCTTTTTTTTTTTACCCACGATATGCAACGCTACGCAGTACTGGACCCTTTTTTTTTTACCCACGATATGCAACGCTACGCAGTACTGGAAACCTTTTTTTACTCACGATATGCAATGGTACGCAGTACTGGAACCTTTTTTTTTACTCACGATATGCAATGGTACGCAGTACTGGACCCTTTTTTTTTTACCCACGATATGCAACGCTACGCAGTACTGGACCCTTTTTTTTTTACCCACGATATGCAACGCTACGCAGTACTGGAAACCTTTTTTTACTCACGATATGCAATGGTACGCAGAACTGGAAACCTTTTTTTTTACTCACGATATGCAATGGTACGCAGTACTGGAACCTTTTTTTTACTCACGATATGCAATGGTACACAGTACTGGAAACCTTTTTTTACTCACGGTATGCAATGGTTCGCAGTTCTGAAACCACTTTTATACTCATGATATGCAATGGTATGCAGTAGTGGAAACCTTTTTTACTCACGATATGCAATGGTACGCAGTACTGGAAACCTTTTTTTACCCACGATATGCAACGCTACGCAGTACTGGAAACCTTTTTTTTACTCACGATATGCAATGGTACGCAGAACTGGAAACCTTTTTTTACTCACGATATGCAATGGTACGCAGTACTGGAAACCCGTTTTTACTCACGATATGCAAAGGTACGCAGTACTGGAATCTTTTTTTTTACTCACGATATGCAATGGTAAGCAGTACTGGAACCTTTTTTTTACTCACGATATGCAATGGTACGCAGTACTGGAAACCTTTTTTTACTCACGATATGCAATGGTACGCAGTACTGGAAACATTTTTTTACTCACTATTTGCAATGGTACGCAGTACTGGAAACCTTTTTTTACTCACGATATGCAATGGTACGCAGTACTGGAACCTTTTTTTTTACTCACGATATGCAATGGTACGCAGTACTTAAACCTTTTTTTTTCTCACGGTATGCAATGGTACGCAGTACTGGAAACCTTTTTTTAGGTATCATATATTCAGTGCTATTATAAGACACTGTGGTGAGTACTGGTGCCTATTTAGACATCGGTGGTGAGCACTGGCACCTATTTAGACATCGGTGGTGAGTACTGGCACCTATTTAGACATTGGTGGTGAGTACTGGCACCTTTTTTAGGCATTTGTATTGAATACTGTTACCTTTTTCCAAGAGAGAAAAAAAAAATCCCTGCAACCAACCAACCTATGCCAAGTTGTGCTATATTTTGCCATTTTCTGCAGCTACCCCTGCCCCCCACCCCCATTAGACCTGTTCATAACTGTTTGAAATTTGCAGCCAGTTTTCCACAGGGTGAGGCAGAAAAGTCCTATACACAAAGCAAACAGAAGGGGCCCATTCCAGAGATCTCTTCCTGTCCTGACACTGTGAGGCATTCCAGGAATAGGAGAAAGTAGAAGAGGCAGTCAACTCATACCAACCTTCTTACCTTCTTTAATCATCTTTCTGGCATGCATGGTAAGTATCAGTGTTGCTACTC